AAGAGCGGTGGTTTTCAACGTCGCTTCAGAATTGTTTGCAAATGTTCCAGTAAAACCAGGTCAGGACGAACCTGTTGGGGAAGCTAGGAACAAAGTCTTATCTCCCGCGGGGGCTGTCCTGATTGTTACGTTACCTATTAATAAAATCGTATTCCCTTTATGTGTAGGTGTGTATCGAGACGAACATTCTGTCTAATCTTGTTAGATTGTTTTAAAATTAATAGCTATCCTCTTCTACTCTAATATTTGTACGGCTAAATTCCATTTTCGTCTCGTTTATTCAAGTTAATATCGTCAATATAATATATATGTAAATATATGTACGCTTAATCGATCAATGTCTATTACATATCTAAATCTTGTATTCTTAATGTAATAATCGTTAACCATGTTCGTTTTATTGTACATGATTTTTCATTTTTCTTTCGTTTTATATTGTTAAGTATCTTTTAAAGTTCTCAAGTTCAGCTGATATTTTAAGATCTCAATTATTTAAAGAATATTTTTCTGGTACTATGTGAGACATCTTAACGATAGTCGATTAAACATAATTCTATGAAGTATTATTGTACAGGATACTAAGCATAGTATGTGAACTTAGATTTTTCTCAGTATTATTGCTTGTTTTTTGCTTGATGAAACGTGCGTATTTTCTAGCAACTTTCTGGCGAAAACTGGTGTGTACCGAGAAGATTATTCGTGTAGGTTGTGCGAGACGCGTCAACCTAGATCTGAAGTAGAAGATTGCAGGAATTGCAGAAATTTTTGTTCGGGGGTGTGCCTGCGTCAGCCTTAAGACTAATTAACTAATCGGATGTCGCGAGCGTCATAAATGTAACCGAAGTAAACGCACGTCAAATACCACATCATTCTCCCTAACTAACGTATTTTTCTTCATCTTTTATCCTCTTAATTCGTGGCTTATTTTTGTTTAAGTAAAGGAATATCTCTTGAAACGTTACTTTACTTTTTGCTCATAAAGATACACGTATTAAAAGTTCATCACATTTTGTCATTTAATTCGATATTTGTTTCAGTTGCTCAGTGTCTCAGCCCATACCTTACCGCCTATGAAGATGCTTTGTACATCATTCATTACATCTCTATTATCGTCATCTGTGACTAAGAATCAATCGGTAGATGATAGAATTGACAGGTAATTTAGTAACATTTTGTCATCTCGATAAGGTAGGCTATAAAGAAATTATAGCGAGTAAACTGATTAAATCATATGGAAATATAGCTGAATAGATTAATAGTCAATTAATTTTAGGTAGATCTTAATGCCAACGTTGATTCTTATTTTGATTTCATTAGGGATGACGCAGTTCAGTCTGATGAGGACTCAGCCGCGGAGAGCGAAGAAGAACTATTACGACTGGAAAAGCGTGAATCTTCGCCTGTGGTTGAAATCGATGATGTCGATGAAACTAAAGTGCAACTTGTCGATCACAATTGGTCTTTCCTGGCGACTATACTTCCGGACCGAGAAGAAATCGAGCTTGATAAATAAAAAAATATAGATATTGATAGACATCAATTTTCAATTTTTATCTTTTTTTTCTAATCAGTTTTACGTTATCTTAAAAAGTTTATATTAAATGTAAAGATTGTATATTTGTTTATTTACATGATTTTTACATTTTATAGGTCAATTATTTGCAAAATAATTTGCAGAAGAAATAATTTTTGTCTGATTTTTTATTTTAGACTGAATTGCTAAGAATACAGACACGAGAAAGTGAAACTATTTCGTGGACTACGTATTACATATTACATGACAAATACAATGTCTACATTTATATATAAATATTGTACATATATTGAAATAGTATACAATAATTATCAGATTTTATTGAAAATTTGTCTTAACGTTATGTTGGCTTTGGTAATTCATCTAGTCGAAAGCTATACTCGACCAACTCGGAAACAATTTCGGTTAATCGTTTACTATATACTGGATCAGTTTTCATGACTTTAAGCAATGTCTCGTTTCTATTATTAAATACATACTCATGATAACCAATAGAATCATTCATAATTTCCATGCTTGTTTTCTTATCTAACAGCACAGTCTGAAAATATATAGCTGCTGTGATTATAGCAGCTAATCTCTGTTCCTCCATACCTTCGATTAATTCTGACCAAGGTGGAATTTCTAGAGAAACTGATTTTGTCGAGTTCATGGTTTCACGTAACACGCTATAGTAGTGCTTCAACATACTTTCCTCCCAAGTTACTCTAAAATGTTTATCAGCGGTGAGATACAAAAAGTTTGCCACGTCGTGTGCCAAAGGAGAATATCTCATCAATTGAAAATCTAGCAACAAACAGTTTGGGGGTACAGTATTACTGAACATCAAATTATTTCCCCACAAATCTCCATGACTAATAACGTTTCTTTTCGTAGATGACATTTCCAGGGCTGCATGCACTTTCTCACAAGCTTTTGGTATTAAAGTAGCATCCAGACCAAGATGTTCAGCAATAGCAACTATGGCGTTTACGCTTACGTCGAACCATTTCTTAGTCTTCCCAGTTTCAGAAAAGGCGTTCTCGATGAAGGCATGCGGATACATCTTCTTAAAAGTTTTTCCAAGACGCGCTTCAGCCAGCAAACAGGAAGCGTGTAACTTGGCAATGGCTGTTAGGCCGGATACAATAAGTTCCTTGTTAAATAACTTGGTTCTTAATGAATAACCCTTAGTTTCTAAATCTTCAAATACCAACAAATTGTCCTTGACTAAGAAACAGGTTGCAGTCCATGGTTCGCCCTTATACTCGTGATACAATTGTGGGATTATGTCACGATAGAAAATTTTCTCTTTCAAAAAAACACATTTGTCGAGTACATATTCAGCTTGGGTGGGAATATTATACGGCACGGCTTTAACGAAAAAAGACAGTGTATATTTTTCGCTTACGGTTTTAATGTTCACGCTGAGTCTCTGATGAGATCCCAGATATCCAAGCTTTCCATCGGAATATAATTCTAGAGAAAAATTTTCCACCACCGCTTTGCCACCTGCCGCGTGTTTCACTAGAACTTGTACGTCTTCAAGAGTCAGTAAATTATGATAAGCATTCGTATCAGAGCACGATTGTTCGACGTTAAAGCATTTAGACACAATTTGAACTTCTGACTCTGATTTTGACATGGTCGAGGAAGTAAATACCATAGCATATGATCCTCTTTATATAAGCGACAAATTTTAAGTGCTTTCTCTTTAAATCATATCTATGATATATTTACAACAGGTTGCCGGATACCTGTCTTCTCGCGTGTGTATTTACTGTCAAATAACATCTTGATAAAATAGCAACCGGACAAGGAGTCTGTGCACTATGAGATTCAGATCGTATTATAATCAAGTACGTGGAAAAATCATAACGTTTGTGCTACAGCTAAATTTAACATTAAAAACAATAATTGCAGCAGTGACATAAATCAATCCTCGTCCACATGCCTTGATACTTTAATCCAAGAAGATTTTGATTTTACGCTATTCTGTCTCGACGAACGAATAACCAATACGGTATCTCAAAGATATTTAAGATACTGGCACCCATGAAAAGCCCAACTGCACTTCCAACCGAAACTGAAAATAACAAGCAATCAGGATACAAGTGGAATCAAAGTTTATTGCACTATATTATGAAAAAATACTTCTAACATTGACAAATTTCAAAAACATATAATAGTATTTTATTATATCAAAAAAAGTTTCTGGCGTTTTTTCAAAACGTCAGTTTGTTTTGCTTTTTTAATACAGTTAATATCAGATACTTCACTTCAGCTTTATCTACTCATCGATATCAAAAATACAAACTTTCGTACGGAGTAATCGTAAGAAATTCGCGTGTTTAATAATTATTAATAAAAATTAATAAAAAAGAAATTGATAGGGAAAAAAAGGGATGGCGATGCATAATTTATATGATTTATCTCAAAAAGGAAAAAACTGTTTGCATCATAAAACAAAACGTTTCTAATAATTATACATTTTATAATTTATGTAGTAAAATATCTTTTTTTCTGTGTATATAATTACATAGCTCATTATAACATTTTATAATATAATATTAATTGCAGGTAACTACTAGGTTACTATATTTCCCCCTGTTTACAGATTTAACTATTTTTATTATATCTGTTATCTGAACAGGTGACTTCACATGTTTCCCCAATTTCTTTGTCAATGTCGGAAGTATAACGTGTTTGATAATGACAGTGACACTGATAATGGAAAGAACTATAAGAAAAAGCTTCATTTGTTTTTGCAATTTTATCAAATAATAATGTGTCCAATGAAATTGATCATATAATCGATGTTATTAATTGTGATCGTTGAACGTTTACCTATAACATCTAAAAGATCGTTGACCACGTATCGGCGATATCGCATCGTTGGATGTGAGAGCAGTGTAAAATGAAGTCGTGTAAATAATTGACTCGGAGAATCGTATTCATAAGGTTCCAATCGATTCCTACAATAAAAAATATAACATTAAAGTTAAAAGTATCCAAACTTAATTTGATGATAGAAAAATATGGACCAACAATTTTCATTTTACTCAGTATCGACTCTTTTTTAACTCTCATATGTGCTTTCAAATACACTCATATACAAAATAAGCTACCATGTGCAAACATTTTGCTTGGAACGTAATATTTTCGTAAGATTCATACACGATTAACGATGTCCCCTCGCAATCCGGTAAACATCCTTCATCCTTGAATGATTGCATCTCAATGCTTGCTTTATTAGCGATTATGCAGAGCATTTCGGTACCGTTGCATGCTCTTGCACCTCGAGGCACAAGATAATAAAAATTCACACAACCACACAGCTTTATCATTCGTTCTATAATTACCTAAGAACGGATGGCATTTAATTTATTAGTATCGATGATTATAAATTAGTTTCTTCGACAGCCAAAAATGAGGAAGAATTAAATTCAAAAGAGTATCTGCGTATTTTCGTACTTCTAGATAACACGAGTCGCTACTGTAAACGTCGAATCGATAGTTTGCTCGTTTTTCGCCAGGAAACCTACATTTTCTGTGCTCGATCGCAATTTGCTTTACACCGTCCTCGTTGAATGTGTCCTTCATCGTAAACTCAACTCGGGTTGTTTTGCCGGCTTTTAAACGTATCTCATATTTTTCCACATTATTAAATATTGGTAACTGTAGATTGTTGAGAATGTGTACCTGAAGTTGCATAATTTATATTAATCAATGATTATATTAATAAGAAAGTTATTACTAATATTCTTTCTATTATTTAATTTAAAAGTCTTATCGAACAAAATGCACAATCCTTTTTGACAAACATATTTGATTAATATCAAATTTTAGATAAATGTATTAACAAAAATTTGTAACCCTTAAGTTGATCATCTCAGGAATATAAAACGCATAAAATCTTATCAGTTTATACTTCTTTAAAACTGTTTAATGATTCACTAATGATATTGTTGAATGTTATATTAACACATTAACAAATAATTGATAAAGCTAAATGGAATATTGATGAAACTTCGAAACACTTGATTAAAAGCCTCTTACAATATAAATTGAAATCCTCATTATATTGTACGTAAAATACGTATTCCCTTAGAAACTTTTAAGAAAACAATTAAAAGCTATATATGTTTGATTATTTAAATCCAAAAATCATTGAAATGAAAGTAAAATTACGAAGTTATTAGATAATTTAAAAGATTATTTAAGAAAGAAAAATACGAACTGTAAATCCAGCAAAAAGGTATCTTTTCATCTTTGCATCTAAACGAATATTAATGATAAGATCACCATATTTTACGGTGCGATTCACAAAGAAATGCACGCTCGATTTGCCATTATCTTTCAAGTGAAACGAATTTGCTGCGATACAATAACCTACGCCGGTTTTTCTTAATTCTTGAAATTCGTTGCAACAATTAAACTTCATATTGTTCCATGTGCATTCTGCTAAGAATTCTTTACAAGGAACCCGCATCTGCAATAAATATTCTTAATATATATTTTAGTTTATGCATTTTACAAGCATAATATTCAACTGCAATTCTTCACCGTTTGATAAAGAGACAAAAGATCTTCAGATGATACTCGCAGGAAACTTGGATTGGAATAATTTGTAAATAATCCTGGGTTTCTTAAAAAAAAACAGAAAAGAACATATGTATTTTTAAACATTAGTACCCGAATATAAATATTTGAATAAATTGTTTGATAATAAAAGTATTTGAATTTGCAATAATTTAATTGTAATTATAGTATATAACACAATCAAGATTTCTTTATATTGTTATTAAATATTGTTAAATACTCTTCAATTTAATATACCTTTTAAAATATTTTCTAATTGCGGAAGTAGAAGAAATGCAAAATGCAATTGCAGGAAATGGTGTCTGCCAATCAATGTAAGTAGTCTCGGTGGTTAAAGCAACAGGATATTGAATATAATTTCTTACCACATTGTTGATCATATTTGCACAACCATACCAAGATAGTACACAAAAACTTAGCCAAAATAATCTGTAAATTATTTGACGAAACAGTATTGGTGGAATATGTTATGAAATATGTAAAATCTCTTGATCATATATGTCCATTACATTAATTAAAACTAAGTTTAATCCAATTTAATATAAAACTAAGTAAAAAAAATTTCATTCAAATACGTTTTAGCTATGTACCTTTCTATATAAGAAAGTTGATCATCTACAAGATATTTAACACCATGTATGCTACAATTTGCTAAATATTGTTTAATAATTTTCCAACAACGATTCAATTTTGTCTTCATTGTTATACGAGCAAACTAAACTAAAGAAATGAACTGAACTATTTTTATAATTCTAATCGAATCGATTTGGTATAGTATAAGTTACCTTATAAATTATACAAAACTCGATTTAATCTCTCGTAGGTAACATAAATTCATGGTTATTTTATTACACACACTACGTTTGTTTCATATATTATTTTAAATTTTTGGAAATAAATTAATAAACATAAATACGTCTTTTAATTATGATTTAATTATTATGATTTTAATTTTAAACTAATGTATTTTTGATACATTTGATATAGCTAATTTACAGAGAAATTGAACGTAATTGGATGTATTTATATACTTTTTTTTTAATAATTGTGCATATTTTAATAAAATTAAACATAAAAATCATAGTAAAATTTAAAATCTTACTATTTTCATAAAGATAATAAAAGTATCTTCATGATAATAAATTGTAGCAAAAATGTTTAAAATTACTTAAAGTAATCTAAAATTAATAAAAAAGAATTTCAAATAATTAATGAAACATTTCTTGCATTTATTTTACTTTTATTTTGTATACATTTTTAAACATATTTATATATGTGCACCGCATCTAAATATATATGATCACCATACGTTACAAGTGTATGCTTGGATGTAGTATTTTGAGGTTAGAAATTTAGAAACCAGTACGAAACAATTAACTTTATTAATTATTGCTGTGTTTAATTGGAGTTAAATTGTATAATTAATAATACGTTGCATCCTTTACAATCTAAAAATATGAATAGATATCTCATTAAATTTTCGTATCTCGGTACACAATACAGGTATATCCACATGTCTAATTGAAAGTAATGTATATATTTGATTAACAATAATTTATTCTTAAACATGATATTGTTGCTAAATTGATATTATCAATTTATAAAATTAAATTTATTTTATCTATGTATTTAGAGGAGTGCAAAAAAATACAATTGCAAATATAAATATTAACATATATGATCCTGACACTATTCAAGGGGTTTTAGAAAGTGCTTTTTCAACACTAAATCCAAAATGTATAACATTCCCAAAAATAGCTTGTTCTAGTAGGTAAATATGTCCTAATACAGTAGATTTTATTTAACATAACCTTTTTAGATATTAAATACATGCATATATATATATATATATATATATATATAATATAAAACAATTTATAGAACAGATGTTGGCGTACATAGTTTCTATAATTTAGGTCATATTGATCTACAAAATGCATATAACAGTTTTTATAATCCCAATGAAGTACTTAAATATGTAAATCAATATCTTATAAATTGTAAACACGATATAAGGTATTTAAATATTTAATATTTCTGTGTCTTTAGATTATTAAAAATTAATTGCTCATTTCTTTAAGGTTATTAGAATTTATTCCAGTGAAAAATGATTTTCGTGTAAGAAGACTTGTAAAGCGTAGAACTTACCTTTATAGATTTATGAGACCTAAGGATAATGATAATTACAAAATTCCTATCATGGAATTAAGACATTGTTTTCATTTTAGGTATAATTTATATTTATAAAAGATATTTAATCTTTTTTGTAAATTAAACATTATATGAAAATTGTATAAATTGTTTATTATAGATCAGATACTTTTGATCCTGAAAAGTTAAAACAAGCAACAAAACTTTTTATGGGACTAAAGGATTTTAGAACATTTTCTGCAAAAAGTCATTCAAAGAGAGAAATCCTATATAGAAGAGAATTAAATAGTTTGTATTTAGAAAAAGGTACAGCGTTTACGCCATATGATTCTTTGTCACAGAATTTTGACTTTTGGAATATAACTTGCTCAGCACCATCTTTCTTGTATAAGCAGGTATTAACATATATTTTCTATATGAATGTATAATATTGTATATTATAACATAGATATTAACGTTATTTATTTCCTGGAAACATGTTATAAATTACAATATATAATGATCATAATTATATTAATGATAATATTTCTTAATCAATTCTTTTTTTATAGGTTAGACGAATTGTAAGTTGTTTACTTGGTATAAGTTGTGGCTTAATAACAGAGAAAGATGTAATTACAATGTTACAAGTTCCCGGACATCACAATTTTCTTTCTTGCATACCATTAGTTCCGCCATTTGGTTTATACCTCGCAAATATAGAATATCATCAAGAATATTTAGATAAATTCATTATAAAATATAAAATATCTCCTGATGATAACAGCGTTATACCATTAGATGAGAATAAAATATAATAAACATTTAGAAATTTTCATAAATAGCATCAAATAACTTTCTTTGTCAGCCTAATTTACTTTACCTGTTGTTTAAAGTACTACTTGTATATTAACAATGGATTTAAACAGTTTAATAAAAAATAAAAAATTGCAGTTGAAAAGCTGTAAAACTGTAGTAACTAATATGCTTGGTCAAAAATATGAAGAATTTAATGGAATAAAAAAAAAGTTACCACTCATTGGAATACCATTTGTGATAGATGATAAACCTGATTTACAAATTGCACATGTAATTAAAGGACTATTCCTAAGTTCACAAGATCCTGTTGTAAGCAAAGAAATTTTACAAAAATACGAAATTCGTCATGTTTTAAGCATTGGTATTGATATATTGATAAAGTTTGATGACATCAAATATTATTATTGTGATTTATTAGATTTACCTGAATCTAATTTACTTCTAGCAGTAAAAAAATGCATTAGAATCATAGATGAACACCGTAATGAAAATATTCTTATACATTGTAATGCTGGTGTATCCCGTTCACCAGCAATTGTTATATCTTACATAATGGCTTTGGAAAAAATACCTTATGAAGATGCATTCAATAAAGTAAAAAATGTAAGAAATTGTATTAAACCTAATGAAGGATTTGTACAGCAATTAAGAGCATTACAACTCTCAACTATATTGTAGTAAAAAATATATAAATAGTAGTATATTATGACAGAGTTTGTTTAAAAATGCTAATGTAAAGGATAAAAGGAAAAAATAACATTTTTTAACAATAGATTAATTATGTATATATTGTTACAGTAGAATTCATGTATCATGATATTATGTGTACAGAGAATATTATTTCATAATTACAATTACTTCGTATTTATAATTTATTAGAAAAGGTACATTCATGCACAGCATCTATCAAATTTTTAGCCAAAACTAAGCATATTAAAATTGCTAATTCTGGCATTCTGTATAAACTATGCATTGGAGATGACACATAAGTCGTCGTACCAAGTAGTTTTATAAAAATTACTGTAAATCTAAAAAATATAGATGAATTTCTGTATACATGATAGTATCTATTATTTCATTTGTGATAGTAGTATATTATTGTACCTGTAGTACAATAGCTATCATATTGATTATATATATATATATATATATATATATATATATATATATATATATATTTATATATATATATATATATATATAAAATAATGAAATTATTATCAGTATTTATATAGTGTATACATATATATGTGTATATATATATGTATATTTATATATAATTATGTATAATCTAATATTCACATTCCTCCAACAATTGAAATGAGCTGTCTTGAAGAAAATAGACAAGGCACTTGAACCGAATATCTTTTTCTTAGCTAGTTGGCCTCATAAATAGTAGAATGCAAAAATTTGCACATCATACAGCAAACAGTAAAATAGAATGAATAAATAAAATCAGCTATTTAAAGAATATGACGTATCGCTTGTATTATAAATATCCATGATTCTTTCCTTTTAATGGCGCCAATGATCTCGTGTCTCGTCTTTGATAACTGCATAAAAGCAGTACAAAAATAGTAAGGCCTTCTAAAGATTATGTTCCCTTAATGCACATTAATAATTACTAACACTTCTGCTTTTCTTAAATCCAGTATTCAATAATATACATGATCATTTAGATTTTGTTGCAAATTTGTTCGCTTTCTAACACATTATTAATTATGCTAGCTATAATAGACTCTAATATCATAATGTGGTTCAAAAACAATTCCACTTAAGTTCAACATAACAAAAAAATGCAATTTATATGTACAAAAAATATAAATAAATTAACAAAACATGCTTGGTTAAACGCAAAACATTTAGCCACGCAATCTATACGGATAGAGACAATCTGAGAAATATATAATATACACAAAAAATTAGTTCCTACGAAGCCACAGTCTTAAGTACAACATATCTGTACCTGAAAGGCATATGAGCAGAAATAAAAGTTATGAAGAAATCAGATGTTCCTTTACGAATGAAATAACGCGCAATTTGCGTCTGACTGTATGTGTGAATATTCCTAACATGGCAATCAACTTAAAATTATGCGTTACAGTTACAGATACATAGGTAATTAGTATATGAACTGTAAATATAAACACCATCGTCAAATGTTATGTAGTAAACCAGTATCAGAGTCCAATAGAGTGGCCAGGTCGTATGCAGCAACATCAGTAATGGAACAGGGAACCACCTAGCACTAATGTGTGTACCCTTTTGTATTGTTTGTCAGAGGAAAGTTATCATATATTGTTATCTTATATGTTTCATTGATTTTTACTCTATTTAAGTATTAACGCTTCACACCCCAAGGACCATCAGGATTAGTCACAGGCACATGAGAATATCCAACAAATTGTGGAAATTCTTCAACGCTAGCGGTGTTCGGAGCACTTTGTTGTTGCTGTTCCCAAGGTCCTCCTTTCACTACAAAGCCGGAATTTCCAGAATTTCTTTCGTCGCGTTGAGGAGAACGTAAATTTTCGCGATATTCATTTTCTAAAACGTCTTGAATCTAAAATTTAATAAGTTTCTTCTAAAATAAATTTTCAATGATACTTATAAATAGTTAGTATTCAATGATACTAACGAAAGTATTTGAACACTAAGGTACGTTTGACTTTAACCATCTATATTTTTATTAATTACGGAAGAAATATGCTCAAACTTCTTTATTTTGATAACGCATTTATCGTACGTATTTAGTAAATAGTAGTTAAAACAAACGTATTTGGGCTTATTTAAATTCATCTGAACAAGCTATTAAAATTAGAATATCTTAATATTCGAATGCTTTCCTTAACCTCTGTATGTTACACAATAAACTTACATATTCTTCTTCTAAATTCAATAAACGATCCTTGGCATCAGCTACATTTTCTTCCGTACCCACAATTGTTACAATATTGGGATCAGGATCCGTTTTTCTTGGGAATTTGATATCCACTTTAAATTCGTCCATTATTTTACGAATATTTCTACCTTTTGAACCGATTAAACGTGAATGCACAGCAGCATTTATATACACTTCTTCTTTCGTCAAACCATTCTAAATTATATAAAATGAGTACTTTGTTAATAATCATCATACTTGAAAAGTAGTTAACCTTTTAAACGAACTTACTAATTCATTAACAATCTTCATTATATCATCTCTTGCAGTACAGGCATTTTTTTCGTAACCAGTGATTGTAATGATATGTTCTTCAGGATCACCTTTACGTGGAAAATTAATTTGAACGTCATGATCACTGCGTATTTTATTAATCACGGCTCCCTTTCGTCCAATTATTTTTGGATGATATTCTGGATCAACCTCGATCTAAAATAGAACGTATTAAATTTCTTATTTTAAAATATTAATTTATAAACATAAACTCAGTAACCTTTAACTCAAATGATTTTAAAGCTCTATCTTGTCTTTCAGCTTCCAATGCTTTACATTTATCAAGTATAGCTTGTTTCGCATTTTCGACACATGATGGTGTTCCGGAAATCTAAATGGAACATAACATCTAATGTTAAATATTACATCGATGTTATATTTCAGGATTAAATATTGCATTGCATGTACCTTAATATAATCAAGTTTTTCTTCCGCTGGGGATAACATGATATGAACATCATATGTATTCATTAGTTCTCGTACATCACGGCCTTTTTGACCTATTATAGAACGATGGAGATCAAACGGCACTTCCACCTAAAAATTATATTACAATACATATAATTTTTTGTCAATTTTAAATTGTTGAACACTTGAAACTATTTAGAAAAATACTAACTTCTATTGTAATTGGTACAAGATCAAGTAACGCTTGTTTAGCAGCTGCTACATTCTCTGGCTGTCCAGTAATACGAATAATATCACAAACTGGAACAGTTTCAGGAACTTCTCCATTTTCACCATTCATCTGTTCTGCTACACGCTGCTCGTCTAAAATATGAACATCTTAATCGGAAACTTTATAATCTTTATTAAAAAACAAAAGCTGTTATATACTAACCATATGTATTCCGATCGGGAAATTTAATCTGTACGTCATGCTCAGATGTAATCATTTGGACTTTACGTCCCTTTGCTCCCATCACTGTACGATGATGTTTTTGAGGTATTACACATTCTTCTGTTACCCTCGATTCCTAGAAAATAACACATACAATTAATGTGTAAAATAATTACAAGAATAGAACAAATTCTAGAAACAGAAAAATAAAAAATTTACCAATTCTTGTACAGTTTCAAGCATCCGTTGCTTTGCTGCTTCTATACATTCGTGCGATCCTTTCAAAATTACACGATCACTATCGACACCAGCTCTTGGGAATGAAATTTGTACTCCTCCACACTCATTTGCAATACGATGTAATACACCTCCTCTTCGAGCTACAAAATGTCTATGATGTTTTGGGTCAATGCGAATCTCACCTTCAGTAATATTATCCTATGAAATGTAAAATTCGATATATGAAATGAAAAATATTTATGAAACAAAAAATAATGTAATTAAAAATGCTAAAATCTTACAATTTCACTAATTATAGCTTCTAGTTCAGCTTTAGCTTTTTCAACAGCCCATTTCCTCCCAATAATAGTAATTACTTCTTTATCTTGATCTTCTTCAGTTGGAAATATGATTCGTGCTCCTGTAGACTCTCTTATCTAAAAGAAAAGGGATTGTAATCAATAAATAATTATATAGTATAAGCTACCTCGTTAGATAAACTTACAAACCTTTTTAATATTGGCACCATTCTTTCCAATAAGGAATTTGTGATGTTGTACTTTGGCACGTATTTCAGCTGAGTAACTGGATAATTGCTTTTCATGTGTAAGTTCACGCAATTGCTGTTTTGCCTTTTCAACATCTTCTTTAGGCCCCCTAATAGTTACCTATAAATAGTACATTTGTATTAATATTTGTACGTATATTTAAGTACATTTAAATAAAGCTATTTACCTTATCACTTTGACTTTCTGCTGTTGGAAATTTAATTGCAACACCACCACAATCTTCCATAATAGAATGAATTAATTTTCCACCAGTACCAATGAGAGAATTATAAAATTTCGGTGGTATTACTATCTCTTCCATAACAATATTGGCCTAATGTAAAAGATTTATTGATTACAAATTACAATTATCAATTATATATTTTTCTAACAATATAAATATTACCAATTCATTTTGTATTTTCTGGATCATTTCTTTAGCTTTCTCTACATTTTCTTTTTTGCCCGTGATAGTTATAACATCGCTTTTCTCACCTTCAGCAGGTAAATCAATTTTAGTTTGTGTCTCTTCTCTGATCTAAATTATAAATTGTTTCGATATTTATGATTTGTTCCAAAATATTTAAGATAAGATATTTGAATACTAACTTTACGAATGTTTACTCCACCTTTACCAATGATAAACTTATGGAACTGTTTGAAAATAGGTACATCTAGGACATAATTATTTTCATTCAGTTCTTTTACTAATTTCATTAAATACTTATGGCACTTATCTACATCTTCTTTGGGCCCCCTAATTTTTACTATATCTCCTATTTCACCTGCAAATAAAAATCTTTTTTAAACATTTTTAAACTCTTCTGTGATTTTTTCTTTTTATCTGCCACATTTATAACATTGGGAAGAGAATGTTTTAAAAACAAAATATTTTTGTACTATAATTCTTCAATTAATTCTTACAGCTTCATATTTTGAATACAAGTAAATAATAAGAATATATTACAATAGAAATTGATAAATATGACCTACACTCTAAATATGCACACTGAGCTCTTATTGGCTAAATGCCAATAAGAGCTGAGGTCTTTCAAATGTTTATACCTGGCATAAATCCGAGTTCTAGTTATTGCATATATCACGCTACATACCTGGACCAGGAATAGTAATCTGTACTTGATTAAACTTATCTCTAATTTCTTTAATATTATCTCCCTTATTTCCAATAATACTAGGGTAATAACGATGATCTATTATCACATCTTTTTCTATTTCATTTTCCAATTTCCTCACCATTTCTACTAATTCCTATAATAAATCGAAATATTAAAATAAGAAATTTGGATTATGTAGTATTTATAGCTTGTAAAACAAATACAACAAACCGTCTGAGCTTTGAGCACACCGGCAACGTTTCCTTCAATACGAATTACGTTACTACCATCATTCTCAGAAATATTAATTACCACACCCGTTCCTTCTTTTACACGGTTTACTATAGAAAAAAGTATTGAAAAAAAAAATTAAAAAATTAAAATTTTAACATAATATAGTATTGATATAAAAATTGAATTTAATGTCAAAATACTTACCATTACAACCATTCTTTCCAATAATATGTTTATAAAATCTAGGATCAACATTTAATTCTGCAAAAGTGAGCTTAGATATAAGATCACTAGCCATTAATTGGAGTTCATTTTGTGCCTTTTCTACTTCTTCAGGAGGACCTTCGATTTTGATTTTATCTTCTTTCCCAGTAAACTCTACATTCACTTTTGGCATTTCTTGCATAATACGTTTAATATTAACTCCTTTTCTTCCTATTATATACTTATGAATCCAAACAGGTGCTGTTACCATGGCCGTACGAACACTATTTGCTTTTTCATATACTTTATTCAATGCTATCATATTATTTTTAAAATATTGTTAATAAACTGTGTTAATATATATTATTTCCCAACATATAAATAATAGTAAAATGAAATCACCTTGACCAAGCTTTTCTTGAGGTCCACGAAGAGTAATAGTTCCTGTGGGAGAATCTGATGCAGGCATTTCTACACTTACACCAGTTACTTGTAATATTTCTGCAATTGTACTACCACGTGGACCAATGACATATTTGTGCTGAGATTTTGGAACTTCAACTGACACTGTTGTACATCTCTTTTCCTAAATCAAAAATGTAAGTTCAGTTTTGAAACAAAAATCAATTTTTAATTATTAATTTTTATCCTATTACTTATACCATATCTCTATAAATGGCTTCAATTTTTTGCTTTGCTGCTAGGACACCTTCCTTTTCACCAGCTATAGTAATTTCATCTTCTTGTACAGAAGCAGGGGGAATATTAATTCGAGCACCAGTTTCTGCCATCATGGCATTGAGATTCTCATTATGTGCACCATGTATAAAGGGGTGATATATTTTTGGCACAGATATTCTTTCAAACGCTTTTCTTGACTAGTATAAAATTATCATATATTACTTTTTTCAATAAAATATAATTTAATAAAAATGTGATATATTTACCTGTTCATCCGAAATTACTCTAATTTCATGCTCAGCCTTTTCTATTCCTTCTTTAGTTCCTGTAATTGTTATTATATCTGACTGATCTTGTACAGATGGAACATTTATTTTTGTTGCAGTTGTTTTTTCTAGATCTTTTAAGCGCTGTCCCAGTTTTCCAAGAATCCAACGATGATGGTCCTTAGGAATGCTAATTTGTTTACTTGCCTAAAATAATTAAGAATAATTTAAAGATATAGAATAATATTATATTAATTTTATCTTATTATTAAATTTATTTGCAATATCAAACCTGAGTCTGAAATGTTGTTAAAATTCGACGTTTAGCTTCTAATACTTGATTTTGTTTACCAGTTATTAGGAATGTTAAAGATTGATCTTTTGATGTTGCTATTTCAATAATAGTATTTGTCTCTGTCATTATTGTTTTACATGTACGTATGGATTCACGTTCTCCAAATTTGTCACTATGATCAAATTTGCGCTCCTCTCCAGGCACACGAAACATCTAAACATCAAATCAATAGCAGTGAAATACACGCTTATAAAAATAATTAATATATTTTAGCTATTTAATTTATACCTGTGTAATAGTTATACGTCCAAGTTGTAAATTATTATTTATAGAGAAAATATTTAATTTTCCTGAACTTGAACTAGCTGACTCAGGAAGAACTGGGAATATCTCATCATAGGTAGGTGGCTCATAGGCCGTTCCCTCTTCCATTACTGACTGCTGCTGCATGATGGGGTTGTCCTGTTTCGTGCCAAGTCCTTACAGTAGCACTATAATTAAGGATTAAGTGATATCTACACATTTGTTATTAAACATTGAATTAAACTAATAAAGCATTAAACATAACGTAACACGTAATTCATTAAATAAAATTTATAAGTTTTAAATATATTAATTTAACATTATAGTTCACATTATAATTTAAAACAAAAGGTAAAAAATTACATAATATATTTGGTTGTTATATATATTTATAACATTTATTAATATTTACATTTATATGATTTAAATCATATACGTCTTATTTTACTTGATAATATTGAAAGAATTATAAAAATTAAATAGAAATAAAAAGCTCTGAATGAAATATGGAATATATGAAATATTTTTAAAATAATTCGGATGTTACTTAAACATTATATCTTTCTAGAATTTCTTTTAATAGTTCTTTTTTAAACAAATGTTCAATTAATAATTTGACACTTGATGCACACAATAAAAAACATCAAACAACAGTAGAAATTCGTAACGATTATTATGTCAAACAGGAAATAGTAAAGAAGATTCAAGTTAAATGCCAACATGTCAATGACCACGGAGTAGTTAAGCTAGTGACCACCATATGGAATGAAGTATTCACTTGACACGTCACAAGATCGCTAACCTTTCCGAAATGAAAGTATGCACATTGCATAGATCAAAAATAGAGTTTGCGAATTTGTACATCGAAATAAGGAGTAGATAATGTCGTTATATTCAAAGAGAAGGGAACATGGGGAGAGAGAGAAAGGTTCGTATGGACAGACAGAACATATCATGAAATAATACTTACTCTACCGTAAAATTAATAATTTGACACTTGATGCACACAATAAAAAACATCAAACAACAGTAGAAATTCGTAACGATTATTATGTCAAACAGGAAATAGTAAAGAAGATTCAAGTTAAATGCCAACATGTCAATGACCACGGAGTAGTTAAGCTAGTGACCACCATATGGAATGAAGTATTCACTTGACACGTCACAAGATCGCTAACCTTTCCGAAATGAAAGTATGCACATTGCATAGATCAAAAATAGAGTTTGCGAATTTGTACATCGAAATAAGGAGTAGATAATGTCGTTATATTCAAAGAGAAGGGAACATGGGGAGAGAGAGAAAGGTTCGTATGGACAGACAGAACATATCATGAAATAATACTTACTCTACCGTAATAAAGAAATCCGGCCCAATAATAAACGTATATTACGAAGCCAGTTTAATAGTGATTTGCCTGAAACATTACGAAATTCGCGAATATTAGACACTGATGAGGCACTTAATCTAATTATCATTGAGCAAATAATTATTTACTACTCTCACAAACGTACGTCTTTCCTTACCGGTAACGCAAAGTGAAATGAGATAAATACTAGCTTGGTTGCAAGAAGTTACTATAATACAGGGATATCGGATAGCATTTTCATTGTAAACCTTAGAATATAAAAAACACTAGTAAAGCTGCATTTATAAAAAAATGTTTACTACAATTTTTTATTTGAAATGTGTTCATATTTAAAGTCTGTAACAATTTAATCAAACATTTTAATTCTAAATATTTGCATTTTCACATATTCACAGGAATATGTAACTTCTATAATGATGAGATAAAAATATATTAGTATTTCACTATCTGTACAATGAAATTATAAATTGAAGATAATTACGTATAATTAGTATAAAATGCAGACATTATTATTAATTAGTAACTTTATTCATTTTTTTTATATCTATTTATATAAATTTTGTAAAAGAATATGAATCATAATTTCATGCATAATGCTAGTTACTATGTTCTATGTATATATATTATATTTACATAAAAAAAAAACAAAAATTATTGTTAGATGGAATTAATATCAAATTTATTTTTTACTTATTTATACTTCCAAGCATTGCAAGATAAGTATTGCATTAAATTTGTCATCTATTTTGTATCAAGAATTTTATCTATTTTTGTCTTTTTTATTATTATTCATAAATTAGAATGTTTCATAAAACTATATTAATATTTATTATAGCTTCAAAATTTCACTTAGAATGTAAGTGAGATAAGTTGGCGATCAGAAGGAATGTAAATTTGATTGGTCATTTTTAAACCAACCTTCTCTAACATAATCATAAAAATAGATCATACGAATTTTCGTTATTGATTACAAATTCTACAAATCAGATTATATTGCATCACAAGGTAAAGATAATGAACAGCTTATTAAGACTGAGTAAGATAAAATAATAACAAGAAATATAAAACATTGGTGATAAAATTAATATTATCCATTAACACATGATAAAAACTACAATCACATAACTTATCCTACTACTATGTCAATCAAAGACTTTAAAGTAGGGATTTCGAGTGTATCACGAATGAACTCAAAAGCAGTAAACAGAATATCTCTCTTGTTTCTATGTTATTACCTATGCTAACTTGTTAGTAACGTAGAATACATTGATATCACTGATTGGATTTCAAATTTTAAGTATATTATATATATAAAATTAAGATCAAAGATAAATATAAGTCATCTTTCAAATACAGTAACAAATTTATTGGGATACTGAACTCTAAGAAAAGAAAATGCCTGAAAACATTAATCATTCAGGTCCATTCATAGGAGCAATTGATGAAGGAACAAGTAGCGCTAGGTTTTTAGTAAGTACTTTAATTTATATTTAAATTCACACAATGAGAATAACTGACAATTGGATCGGAACAGAATATCCGAATGAAGTTTAAATCGCATAATTGTGGTTATGCAACTATCTAACCCTAATGTTCACACAATCGACTCCCAATTATTCGATCCTACTTTAATCACTTGTACATGATTATTTACTTTTTTCGATGAAATATATTTTTTGTTGTATCTATTGGTCATTATTCAAATAATCTTTCTCTTAGTAATCTTTTTTCTATTTATACTAAATCTGTAGTATATAAAAAATTTCTGTTCATACTGGATTTTATATGTAATAATATACATGCTGATTTTTTTTTAGTGACAATCTATAAATGATAAATGATATTTACTATCGGATTAATCGGCCAATCGTTTATCTGGCTAAGGGTCTAGTCCCATAGGGACCAATTAAGGGAGTTGACTGTAGTATGTTACATCACATTTTGAACTAAACATCATTTTATATTTTTCAGTATCATTTTTGTGATTTTTTAATTAATTTATGAGTTAATTTTCTCAATGTTTAAATTATTGTCTTATTAATTTTATATTCATGGTTATAGAAAATTGGATGTAGTATTATATATAAAAAATTTGAAGCAAAATTATAATACAAAGTATAATGCAATATTTCTGTTTTAGGTATTTGATGTCTTACATGGAAAAGTAGTAGCATCACACCAAATTGAAATTAAACAAAAGTATCCACAAGAAGGATGGGTGGAACAAGATCCAAAAGAGATCTTACAAGCTGTTATAGAATGTATCAAAAAAACAATAGAAAAATTGAAAGATATTGGTATGAGTGTGTCAGATATCAAAGCAGTTGGGATTACTAATCAACGAGAAACAACTTTAATGTGGGATAAACATACAGGGGAGCCATTACACAATGCAATAGGTACAATGCATAGCTTATTATTAAATATTATAATGTACATAGTTATATGTAATATATATGCCAAACACTTGGAATAAAATAATGTTAATTTCTACAGTATGGCTGGATATGAGAACTACTACAACCTTAGAAGATATATTAGATAGTGTACCCAATAAAACAAGAAATAAAAATTATTTGAAACCTCTTTGTGGTCTTCCAATGTCACCATACTTTAGTGCTCTCAAAATACGTTGGCTTATTGATAATATACCATGTATTAAGCATGCAGTAGATGAAAAGAGATGTGCTTTTGGAACAATTGATACATGGCTTATTTGGGTCCGCTCATTTAACATAGTTATAATTATCACTATATTTCATTCATTAATCAAATAAATCATACTTGTGTTATATAGAATCTTACCAAAGGACAGTTACATGCAACTGATGTTTCAAATGCATCTCGCACTATGTTAATGAATATTGAATCATTAAAATGGGATTCTTTATTATGTCGATTTTTTGGAATTCCACAACATATACTGCCTGAAATACGATCTAGTGCTGAAGTATATGCAACAATTTCAAATCCAGAAGTTCTTGCTGGTGTGCCTATAGCAGGGGTAAATTATTATAACAATATTACATTTAGACATTAATATTGTTAAAGATTTGATTCATAAATTAACATATCTTTCTTTTACTTACAATAAGTGTATAGGTGATCAGCAAGGAGCACTTCTTGGTCAATTATGTTTAAAACCTGGACAGGCAAAGGCTACTTATGGAACTGGATGTTTTTTACTTTATAATACTGGAAATGCTGTATGTGTTTATTTCTATCTATTGCATTATTATGTCTTATTCAAAACTAATTAATTCGCTTGTTTAAATGTATCATTATTTTAGAAAGTAGATTCAACTCAGGGTCTTATAACAACTATTGCATATAAAATAGGTAAAGCCCCAGCAATTTATGCATTAGAAGGTTCAGTAGCTGTAGCTGGCGCAGCTTTATCGTGGTTACGCGATAATATTCAACTATTTAACAATATTACACAGTCTCAAGACATGGCAGAACGTGTGAGATGTTCTGGAGATGTATATTTTGTACCTGCATTCTCTGGTTTATATGCACCATATTGGCAACAAGATGCACGAGGGTAAATGTAATGTTTTAGAAGATTGTTACATACATTTTTTGATAAATTTTTTATGAATTTATGACATTTTATAAATTATATATATATTTTAGAGTAATTTGCGGCATTACCGAAGATACGAAACAACACCATATTATTCGAGCAGCATTAGAAGCTGTTTGTTTTCAGACCAGAGATATTTTAGAAGCAATGATTAAAGATTCAGGAACAAAACTAACAACTTTACAAGTTGATGGTGGAATGACTGTAAATAATTTGCTTATGCAGCTGCAAGCTGATTTAACAGGGATAAGTGTTGGTATATATAAATTTAATTTATTTATACTTAATATGTATTTAAATATATAAGTTTCTTTTATATTTGAATAATATCATTTTAATAATTTGATAAGTACGACCAAATATGGTGGAAACAACAGCATTAGGGGCAGCTATATTAGCTGGTGTTGGAATTGGAGTTATTGATGTGAATGATGTAGATACATCACAAGTTACAAAATTTACACCAACTATTGGAGAAGATGGTAATATTCTTCTGAATTATGTATAATAATATGTATTATTGTAAAAATAATTTAGTAAGAATTTCATATATTTATATTTTAGAAAAAGATTTAAGATATTCTAAATGGAAAATGGCTGTTGAAAGATCTATGAAGTGGGATTGTTCTACTAGTTTAATAAATAATTAAAATAAAATAGCATACACGTAAAGAATAAAAAGTGTAATAAAAAATTTAATTATACTTAAATTAAATTTAATCACAGCATATGTATATAAATTTAACTAAATATTAAATGTCAAATGTGATACTTCTGAATTTAATATATTATATCATTTGAATATAGAAACCTGAAAAATATAGAAATAAAGGGTCCAATATTATATTAATATATTTATTCTTAAGTATGTAATTCGTTAATAATATTTATTAAATACGTCTACAATTTACGTATTAGCATAATTTAATCACTATAAATTAAGTAGTAAATAACATAATTAGATGATGAAAATACATTTTAAGTAATTATGAAAAAAAAATTCTGGATTTTGAAATTATATATTTTTTAATAACTTTATGTAATAATTATAGTCTATCAAATTTTATTTTTTAGACATTTTTCCAGGAGTTCCATATTGAAGATTTTTTGGAGCACCATATTGTCGTAATCCAGTGCTACGAGTTTTAAATATCTTTTTTTTCGGTGTCAAATTATTTTTATCCTATTTATACAAAATAATATGCTAAATCTTTCAGTTAGATATAAAATATACATAACAAAAAAAAAAACTGTTTTTAAATAATACCTCATTTTTCCTCTTTTCCTTTTTTTCTGTTTCTATGTTCGATTGTATCATATTCTCATTCCCAGAAAGATAGAATTGAGTTTCCACATATTCAGAAACCTATAAGAATGGTTATCTTTGGCTTATTTTGTATTATGAAAAATAATTCTGAATAGTAAACTTCACCTTTGTTGGAGAATTTAAATTAAATCTAATCTTCTTATCTTGCTTTGTCGCTGATAATATCTATAATTATATAAATTCAAAAAATTAAATTCATTTATACACATGAAATCAATATAACCTGCATATAACTTACATTTTGTAATTCACCGTTCAATTTTGCGACCCTAAAATCATATATGTCTTGCTCTGGATTAGATATTTCGTTATTATATTTGGATATATTTTTTGATTTATCCACATATTCTTTGTCTCGAAATTGTTGATCTTTCATTTCACGAATTTGATTCGTTTGTGTTTGACTTTCTATTCTTTTAATTGCATTTATTAAATCAGATTCTAAAATTGGTTGTACTGTTACTTCTAAGTTCTCTTGCAATTTATGATTAGTATTTGTACGCTGGTCATGAAAATTTGTCTGTTTATCAATATTTTCCTCGTTCTCTTTGTTTAAGTTTAAAAACGCAAAATTTTTTGTAGCTATTATTTTCTCCATTTCTGCTAATTTAACATCGAATTCTTGTTTTAAGGCTACTACTTCTTCATTATGTTGTTTTTCCAGTAATTTACAAGCGTTTTCAAATTCCTGTGTATAAAAAATAAATTTAAGTTACCCTTTATAATTTATAATTTTAATTTACTCATTAAAATTATACCTGAATTTTTGAATGTCTTTCTGAAAGTACTTGATCTTTTTCTTTTTCTAACAACTCGATTTTTTTATTTAATCCTATTCTTATATGTTCATTGTCAAGTTTCATAACTTGTAAAGATTCCTCAAGATTTAAATTATGAATTTGTGCCTCTTTTAATTTATTTTTTAGATTTACAAAATCATTTTGCATGATCTTATATTTATTGTCGATCACTTCAAGATCTTTGGCTAAACTAGATTCTATTTCTTGTCTTTCATTACAATTTTCTCGTAGTCTACCGACCTATTGAAAAACAAACTTAATTTATTCTATGCAAAAGAAATATGTGAAACAGAAATATGGCTATACTTCTTGTGTTTTTATTTGTAACTGTTTTGATAATTCCTCTTCCTTATCGATAGATTTTTCATACTTCGCATTTAATTCAGTGTTCTGAGATAAAAGATCTTCGATTTTATTTCTGTCACAAGATCAATAAATTAAAAAACTTTAAAATATCTCAATAATTAAATTTAAAAAATACTCACTTGAGTGCAACAATCTCCTCTTGCAATTTTATAATTTTATTGGCTTTTTCTGTACATATACTAGTTAAATTTTGTTTTTCTTCCGTAATCACCTGTAATTGCACTTGTAATTCTTGATTCATCGACGTGAGATTTTCTTGTTTCTGAAATCATAATCACTTAACAATATTTTACATGTTTATAACATCTATGATAATAACGTGCTGTGATAACGTAGTTAAAATATTTTTCATGCTTTAGAAGAGACAAGATTATACACGTCTTACTACTTAAAACAAAAAAAAAAAAAAAATGTTACAGTAAAAGAGAATAATAAATAAAAAAATATTATACTTCTGACCTTTATTAGTTCTAACTTTTCTTCTGCATGAACATTATTCAAATGATTTTTCTCCAAAATTGATCTATTTTTTATATCTTCGAATTGTTTTTTCAGTTCCGTTTCGGCAATAATCATATCATGTATTCTTGTAAAAAAATTAAAGGTTTTATTACCTATTCAATAAATGATAATGATAATGATTCGTAAAATTTTCGTAAATACCTTATATCTTGATTTATTATTTTATTTTCGATAGAATTAATAATATTTTTCTGTTCATCATCTACACAAAAATATTAATCAATATTAAAGTAGATATAATATAATTGAATAAAGCCAGTAACAAAATGTACATCTTTACTTTTTAATTTCGTAGCAGTTAATTCCTCTTGTAGTTTCTTCACTGTAGATTGCTGTATTACGACAATTTTGTCATATAACTTTGATAAATTATCCTTGTGTTGTTGGAAGCCCTTTAAACTCTCTGATATTTCATAATAATACTTAGTAATCGATTCCCAGTCGCTATTCAATCTAGAAAAAATACATTAATTATTACCTTTATTGATACCAATCTTTAACTGAAATAAATATCTAAATGATTCATAATAAATATATTTGGAAATTACTGTTGTAAAATTTCTTGTTTAGCACGCAGTTCAGCCTCATGAGAAGCAGAGAGTGAAGATATAGTTTCTTCGGCAATTTGTAACTTCTTTTGTAACTTTTGAATCTTCCGTTCTTCCATTACATGCATCCTCTTCATTTCTTCCGTAATTGTATTTTCTTGTACCTATTTATTCAGTACTTATTCTGTTATTATTTTTATAAAAAGTTTTTTGACTTATTAAAAATGATATAAATATTTATACCACTCCAGTTTGGCATAAAGGTGTTTGGATACCCACATGCTTGGACCATTGTGCTATTAAAGTATTAACAAATTTTCCGCTTGAACAAGTTTTCTGTATTTTTTCAAGATTCTCTCTCTGAGATGATTGAATCTTTCGTTTACTACATTCTAATTGCGATATTGTGCTTTTTTTAAGAGATCCTACAGTGAAATATTTTATACAAAATAATCTCTCTTATTTTTATATTATACTATGAATTTATAAAAATATTATACCGCTACTTTGTGGCGTTTTCAAGTACTTATCCGGGGTATTGTGAGGAGTATAGTGTATTTTACGTTTATCTTCCTGCAACATTACATCTTTTCTTCCAGATCCTACAGAATAATTATGGCATTATTGTTTATGACTCGAAATATAAATCGATGAAGCTTACCATCATTCCGGGGGGTGTTTTGCAATTTTTCCGGAGTTGTATTACAAGATGTAAATTCAGGTCTGCGATTATCTTCTTCTCGTTGCATTTTTTGTGTTAATTTCAATCACAACTGAATTAAAACAACAATTAATTAAGAGGGTGTTCATTTTTACACATTAATAATAAATTTTCCATGATAATATTTTATAATAACTATATAACTATATATAAAATTATAATTATTTATATGTAAATAAATATTACTCAATATAATTATCTTCCCATAAAGTAATCGTATAAAATATGACCAATTTTTTATTACAAATGAATGTGACATAACACGAACTTATAAGCGGTTTTATAAATGGACGAATTAATTTCAAATTCTACTACGTAAGTAAATACAAACACCTTTATCGGTATTTGAATTGTACATTTACAATCGCAACGTAATGAAACATTATATGCACAAATTAATGGTGCATTAAAGAAAAACTTTTAAGGACATTTTTTTCTTAAATAATGTTTTTTATATTTGTAAGTAAAATATTTTTTTTATCTTTACTTTTGTAATCTATCCATTTCATACTATCATTCAATTAGTTACCGTATGAGCACATTACAGTCGGTATACCGATAAAAAGTTTATGATACATGAAAGTAATCACCGAACCATTCGATGACGCTCTAAATCAGTCCTGCACCTTTATGGTTCATGTAATACCTCATTTACAAAGTTTCTGCCATATGAAACATTTCTACTTATACCTATTGTTATAATCGATAAAATTCAGTTCCAAAATTGTTTAAACAAATTATCGAATAACTTTTCACAACTTTAATAAAAATATACTACGACTAAAAATACCAGGAAAAAATTTATAATACTCGAATGTTTGCTGAAACATATCGGCGCGGTAAATCGATGGCGCAGCTCCATAGCGCATGTGACATCTTGTTCGCGGAGTATGGAGCACAGGTTGGAAGGGGCTAGACATCCCTCCCTTCTCACGGGGATGCTTACGAGAAGAAATCAAACCAGTGTATGTGCCGCGGTAGCCTAATATTCAAGCACAGCGGTAACAAGTGAGGCAGGGGCACATTCTGTCGAACAGAAGAGCCACAACGTCGAGATGAAGGAGCATGAGACGACGGGTATCTGTCAGAAAAAACCAACAAAACTACGAAATCTCATCTATAAGACCGAGGCTTTTGATTTTCTACATGTTGGAAATGCAGAGGTACATATAATAAAAAAGGGCTTGGAAGTAGATGTACCCTTCTTTTGTACTTTTATTTCATTTATTTTTTCAACTCATTAATATGTTTCATAGATTTAGAAAATTTCATTTAGAGACTGCACAATGTTCGATGTTGAGAATTGCATAGTTGTGAATAGCGTGGGAGTTCGAACGAGACTGCGAGTGTGGGCGAATTTGTAACAGAGCGAGTCAATACTGTTGAAAAACGAGAGTTCGTTTCGATGGCCCACTAGTTGCGTGAAAATATGTACATAATTTATTTCTCAGGCTAGTCGAAGAATTAAGTTTCGAAATAAGCAAAGAAAATGCAGAAGAAGCTACATAATACGAATATCCAATTGATATAATACTACTTGGAAGCGTTGTATATTCGATTAAAAATCAAAATGATTTGAATATACGATCATTTAAATGTTTTGACCAGGGTAGTAATAATAACGCCTCGATTTAAATTTTAGAACATTATTCTACTTAATATCCTTAGCTTATTCTTATAATGCAAGTTAGAGTAAGAAATTAATATATCTAACAATCTATATCTAATATATATCTACAATCTTGTAAAACACGAAAGTATTTTTTTATAATCAAATGAATATACGTAAAAAATATGAAATTATAGTATTATAATTTACTTTAATAAGTACTATAGTAATATATAATTATATACTATAACCAAGATATAATTATAGTACTATAATTTACGTTACTTCATAGAGTAAACATTCCTACTATTAAAGTGGCTAATACTAAAAAATTATAATTTATAAAAAAATAGAGTGGTTTAAATTTGAAGTACAGTAGAACATCTCAATTACTATCATGAATACGAACAATCATTTGTGCATTGGCTAAAATATTTTTTCTTTCCTTACTTATGAAAAATATAAATAACCTAAGTAAATGATTAAAGAAATATTGCAGTTTAATATTTTGTTAATCTTGTTGCTCTTTTTAGAGAACATTATGCTCTAACCAAGTGTGTCTCGGTAGTGTCATGCAACTACCGAGTCATGGAACAGAACCCCGTTCAAGAGAAGAAATTCTTATGCATGCAAAAGATTTTCTCGAACAATATTTTTCTTCCATCAGAAGGTATAAACTATTTAAAAATCATTCCTACATGATATTGAAATAATTAACAAATATTTCTTCTTTTAAAAGCAGATTAAATAGTGAGGCACATCGCATTCGTTGGGAAAGTGTGCAAAAGGAAGTCACAGCAACTGGAACCTATCAATTAACTGAAACAGAATTAGTTTTTGGAGCTAAAGTTGCGTGGCGCAATGCTACAAGATGCATTGGTCGCATTCAATGGTCTAAATTACAAGTATATAGCAATCTAAAGATATAAAATCTATACAAATTTTCTGAAAAGTATAAGCCCAAAAAATGGAAACTATACTTTTCTTCTCCTATCACAAAGTTTAATATTTTTGTATTAATGACATTGAAACTATATACATGACTGTAAAAATATTTTAAAAATCTCAGTTTCAAACTCATTTTATTTCAGTTCAAGTACAAAATTAGAATTAAAATCGAATAATATTCTACCAATTCATTATATTAATTTATTTAGTTATATATATCATATATATTAATTTACTATAGGTATTTGATTGTCGTTATGTTACAACAACTAGCGGCATGTTTGAAGCATTATGTAACCACATTAAGTATAGCACGAACAAAGGAAATATCAGGTAATTAAACTAAAAGTAATTTTTATCCAATACCTATAACTTATTTATTGGATTTTCAGATCTGCAATAACAATATTTCCACAACGCACAGATGGAAAACATGATTACAGAGTATGGAATCAACAATTGATAAGTTACGCAGGATATAAAAATCTAGACGGTACTATAACTGGTGATCCTGCAAACGTTGAATTTACTGAGGTAAAACGATTGTTTCGTATCTTTAGTTCAAAATTATCACATGACTTATTGCTTTCACAGTTATGCATGAAACTCGGCTGGAAAAGTGCACGTACTCGCTTCGACATATTGCCATTGATATTATCAGCAAACGGTCATGATCCTGATTATTTCGATATTCCAAGCGAACTTGTTCTTGAGGTACCTCTTAGTCATCCAACGTAAGTATTTCTATTTATTACTAGTGTATTGTTAAGCTATTTATTAAATTTTTACTTTTTATCTCAGTTACGAGTGGTTTGAAAAATTAGAATTAAAATGGTTCGCGGTTCCTGCAGTATCTGGAATGGTATTCGATTGTGGAGGATTAGAGTTTACAGCCGCGCCATTCAATGGGTGGTATATGAGCACTGAAATTGGCTCTAGAGATTTATGTGATGTTCAACGATACAATTTACTAGAAGTACATATTTCTAACGCAAAATATTTATTTTTTTATTCTTGTATGCTAAAATAGATTTCATTTATAGACAATTGCAACACATATGGGGTTGGATACAAGAACATCTACATCATTATGGAAAGACAAAGCTATGATAGAAGCTAATCTTGCTGTTTTGCATAGCTTTCAAGTATATATGCACAGAGTTTTTATTCAAAAATTTGCTGAAAAAAGTAGTAATAGATCTTTCGAATATTTTTAGATGAAAAATGTGACGATAGTAGATCATCACACTGCTTCGGAATCCTTTATGAAACATTACGAAAATGAAATGCGATTAAGAAATGGATGTCCAGCCGACTGGTTATGGATCGTACCACCGATATCAGGATCCGCTACACCTGTGTTCCATCAAGAGATGGCTCTTTATTATTTAAAGCCGTCGTATGATGCTCAGGTCTTTATTAAATAATTCATTTATTTCCTATCACGCACTTATTATATTACATTACTAATATAATTTCAGGATCCTGCTTGGAAGACACATGTTTGGAAAAAAGGTCGGGATAAAAGATCAACATCTAAAAAACCAAGACGAAAGTTTCATTTTAAGCAAATAGCAAGGTAACTTTTATAAACATGTAGAATGACAAAATTTAATTCATAATTAAATGGTGTTGACGGATAATTTTAGAGCAGTAAAGTTTACGTCAAAGTTATTTGGAAGGGCTTTATCTCGAAGAATAAAAGCAACAGTATTATTTGCTACGGAAACCGGTACATCGCAAATGTATGCTGAAAAACTTAGTAAATTATTAGGACACGCTTTTCATTCGCAGGTACTCAATATTTACTTAAATATCACATAAGTTTCAGTTTTTAATAAATAATTTTGAAGAAATGATACATAATACTATCAATTTTAGGTATTGTGCATGTCAGATTATGACATCAGTAATATAGAACACGAAGCATTATTGTTGGTTATAACTTCCACCTTTGGAAACGGTGATCCTCCAGAAAATGGAGAAGTAAATTAATTCACTTATACCAAACAACGCAAAGTTTAAATTATAGTTTCATACATATTTTATTCTTTAGGCTTTTGCACAAAATTTATACGCAATGAAAATGAATGAAACATATATTAATAGTGGCAATAAAATAAGGTACTTGCGTATTTTTATAATTAATATTAAAATGAAATTTATAAATTTAATTCATCATTAATCATATCGCAACTATAGCTTGGCGACATCAAAATCGTTCATCAAAGCGAATAGTCAGACAGAAGTAAGTAATTCAAAGAAACTGGATAGATTAGATTCTCTTCGTGGTTCTACTACAGATTCTCAAACGGAGGACACTTTTGGTCCCTTGAGCAATGTCAGGTATATACATACATATATAAATATAAATAAAATCAATCCACAAATGTGAAATGAAATCTATGATCTCTTTTTCAGATTTGCCGTTTTCGCTTTAGGATCATCAGCATATCCAAACTTTTGTGCATTTGGGCGCTATGTGGATAATTTGTTAGGCGAATTAGGTGGAGAACGACTGTTGAAATTGGCGCAAGGAGATGAAATGTGTGGTCAGGAACAAGCTTTTCGGAAGTGGGCAGCTGATACTTTCACTGTTCGTACTTCATTATTATGCTTTTCCATATTACTTATTATAAAGCACTATTATCTCTTCTAATTACTCCAGGTTGCGTGTGAAACGTTTTGTTTAGACGATGATGATACTTTGCTTGAAGTTGCTTTGTCTTTAGGATCAGAAGCTTTGTCGGCAGCAACTGTTCGTTTTGTAGAAGCTGAGCCCCAACCAATTGGGAAAGGTATAGTTATTTATAACTGTTCGCAACTAAACTGTTCGTGACTAATTAAATTTTCATTTTTATAATCGCAATATTTTAGCTTTAAGTAAATGTCACAATAGAAATGTTACTACCTGTAACATGTTTAGAAAAACAAATTTAAGCGGTGATTTATCAAGGTAATTACATAGGCAAATGATAATTTCATGATTGTGTAGTAAACTTTGACTTTGAACTTTTATCTCTTATAGTGGAACAACATTACTATTGGAACTCGATGACATAGCAAGTATGGAAATACCATATAAACCTGGTGATCATTTAGGAGTGTTTGCATGTAATAGATCAGAATTGGTAGAAGGAATTTTGAAACGTATACAAACTCCTTTTGATCCAAACATACCGATTGAATTACAAATGCAGAAACAATCTCATACTCCGAATGGTTAGCATTGATATTATTAAAACTACTAAATTATTACTCGGTGATAACAAGTTCTACTTTTACCTTTTTTATATAGGAATCTTAAAAACATGGATAGCACATGATAGATATCTACCTAATTCCTTGAGAATATTATTAAAAAGATTCTTAGATATTACGACACCACCAACACCGAACCTTCTTAGATACTTTGCGTCGATTGCAACAAATCCAAAGGAACAAGCTCAACTCAATCTTTTAGCTTCTGTAAATATTTAATCAATTTTAAATTTGATAAATTCAATTAGCATGATAAATTTTTATACATTTTTTTCTTTTTATATATAGGATCCCGCAGCATATGAGGATTGGAGACACTGGAAATTTCCCAATTTAGTAGAAGTATTAGACGAATTTCCGTCTGTAAAACCTTTCGCACCATTATTACTACTTCACTTAACTCCTTTACAACCGAGATTTTATAGTATCTCCTCCTCTCCCGATGTACATCAAGGGCAAATACATCTTACTGTTGCTGTTGTACAGTATAAAACACAAGGTATTTAATTTTACATATAACCCTTGAGTTACTTAGAAATCATCTTTTTTTTCTTTTTTAAATATGCGATCATTCATAAAATATTAGGCGGTTCTGGACCAGTTCATTATGGAGTATGTTCAAATTACCTACATGAGATATCAGATGGAGAACCTTTATATGTATTTGTACGTAGGTAAGTTCATGTTTTTAAAACCATGTTTTAACTTGATTATTATTGTTTTACTAATTTAATATATTTTTCTTATATTTAGTGCACCAAATTTTTATATGCCAACCGAACCAAAAGAACCAATGATACTAGTTGGTCCAGGAACTGGAATTGCTCCTTTCCGTGGATTTTGGCACCACCGCCTCGCAGAAATAAAACAAGAACCAGGTATTATAATTTAATAAATGCTGTATTGTTATTTAAATAAATACATATTATAAAATTTATAGAACTTGAGTATGGAAAAGTCTGGTTATTCTTTGGGTGCCGTCAAAGAAATTTAGATCTGTACAGGCAAGAAAAAGAAGAGATGTTAAAAATTGGTGTCCTCGATAAAGTTTTCTTAGCACTTTCGAGAGAACGTGGATTAAAAAAGGTTGCAATTAAAAAAAATTATTAAATAGTTTATGAGGTAACTTTATTATATTGGAAATACTATTATTTATATTCATTTTAACAGACATACGTACAAGATTTAATTCAAGCAGAAGCTTCGCAAATTTATGATATGTTAGTGTATGAACGAGGCCATTTTTACGTTTGTGGTGACTGTACAATGGCAGAAGATGTTTACCAAACTTTGAAGCATATTATACAAACTCATGGTGAAATGACTGATAAACAGGTCGAGGCGTATATGTTGTCATTACGTGTAAGTATCATAATTCTATGACTGAACGTTAAATTTTAATTGCTTATATAATTTGTTTTTAGGATGAAAATCGTTATCATGAAGATATATTTGGTATCACTTTAAGAACAGCCGAAGTACATAATCGATCAAGAGAAACAGCAAGAAATAGAATGGCTGCAGAGCCTTAAATTTATAATCTTTAAAAATTTCGAACGATTTTGTAGATAGTTTTCAATTATGCATATCGCGTTCTTATGCAAACACTGAATTGAAAAATATTAAAATATCTTTATTCTCTAACATACTTTACTATTACATAATTTACTATAATTTTACGATAAATTATAATGTACAAGTTTCTAGGATTATATACACGTATATTTTTGATGACATTAAAAATGACTTAGATTTAGTAAATATCAGCAAGATTAGTATATCTTCCTTTTTAGAATGAAAAGAGTAAAAATACATATCCAAGTAACATCTTGCTCATTATAAAATTAATCAGTGTATCAACAAAGATTCATATTAGCAATAATGCGTTATTACAAAAATATAAAACGTGTAATATAAAATATTCAATATATTCCATTGCATTCATTAAATGAGTTTTAATGTATTATATTTTACCTCCATTCATAGATGTATATAAAGTATGTAATTGAAATATAAATGATTATTTATATTAGAAGGGATTTGAATTTTATTTACAATAAACCATACTTGTTATAAAAAATTTGGTTTCAGCTATGTACTGTTTTATCAAATAATTTAAATAAACTATTTATTCGTTTACATCTAATCAAACATATCCTTATATTTAATAATAAACGAGAAGTACATATAAATTACTAATTTCAATCCTTTTTCCTTTATTTATACAGCAGCATTAAGGTCAGGTTTCTCTTTCTGTCCAATATTGGCTAATAATTTCTTTATTTCTGCAATTGCTTTTCCAGGATTTAAGCCCTATTAAAAATAAAGTATGTTATTTTTAAACTGAAATTATGTTCCTCAGATTAATTAATTTTACCTTTGGACAAGTACGAGTACAATTCATAATAGTATGACAACGATATACTGAATATGGATCCCGTAATTTTTCAAGACGTTCGTTTGCTTTGTTATCACGTGAATCAATAATCCATCTATAAGCTTGCATAAGTACAGCCGGTCCTAGATATTTATCACCATTCCACCAATATGATGGGCAAGCAGTACTGCAGCAAGCGCATAAGATGCACTCATAGAGACCATCCTATGCCATAAAAAAATTACATATTATTTCAGTAAAACACATAATTATACATTACTGCAATAAACTAAAAAGTATAAAAGTTCCATTAAAAATTTTAATTCTAATTACCAATTTTTTGCGGTCTTCAACACTTTGTAAATATTGCTTCGCCCCAGTTTCCTTCCCTTCACCACGTTGCAACCATGGTTGAATACTTTTATACTGATTATAAAAATTATTCAGATCTGGTACCAAGTCTTTTACTATATACATATGTGGTAGTGGATATATCTTACTAGTTGAATTTAAGTTGGTATCAATTTTGCTAAAATAATACCAATCATGATTCTTACTTTAAGTTTATCTTTTAATTATGACTGAAAGCTTTGATAAAATCAATGACAAAATACCTTATACATGCCAATGTATTTGTACCACCAATATTCATAGCACAAGAACCACAAATGCCTTCACGACAAGAACGACGAAAAGTTAAAGTTGGATCAATCTCATTTTTAATTTTAATCAATGCATCCAAAACCATAGGACCACAACTATAATTTTAAAATTTTTAAACAAATTAAGTAATACATAATTTAAAATAATTTCTAAATAATTTAAGAAATACTAATTGTTAAAAGAATGTTATAAATAAACTTACGTGTTTAAATCTACTTTATATTTTTGCATGTGTGGTTTCTCATCAGGTTTATCTGGATTCCAACGATACACAGCAAAAGTTTTTAATCTGGCTTCAGCATTTTGATTTGCAGAAATATGAAATCCTCTAATCTAAATCAATAGGAACTAATATAATAATAAATTCAAATAAAAATAACTAGAGTAATTACAATTTGTACAATTATTACACAATATTAGATGAAAAAAAATAATATCATAGATAAAAATAGAGAGATAACATAATTTAATTATTTTAATTATTGGTTAGAACAATTATTAAATATTTATCATAATATAATTATTAAACGTAAATGTGAAAATAGATGAAAGCAAAAGATAATGGAACTGACATCAATGATAGAATACATTGAAGTTAGCTTTTATTGCAAATTTGGACAATACTTTGTAATAATAAGAAGATCGTTTAATTAAGGAAAAATAATTATTTAATTATCAAAATATGAACTTTTACTAATACTCACTTGCCGAAACACATTTTTGCAAGCCTGCGGTGTAATGCCAGCCATTTTTTAGAAATGGACCAAAGTCAAGTCGTTTATAGTACCTGTGTTATGTAAGTTATCCACGTGAGAATGTACCAACCTTACTACGAACTTTGTAGAAATGTGTTTCAGGTCATTGTCAAATTTTATTCAATGTCAATAATATATAAAAATTACTTAAAGCAATTACTTAAAATTTTAATCAATTTAATTATTGAATAATATTTACATTACATAATATATTTTTAACAATATAATTAATATATTAATTGAAATATGGATTGACTTCGTTATAAAAAATAAATATGGCTTATATGTCAAATGCTATTCTTTGGCACTTATTAATAAATATGTCCTATTACTTCTAAACGTACATACTTGTAACTGTTAACTGTCATTTTCCTTATACTATTATTTTATGAATTATTTAAGAAATTTATTTATATTTTTAAAAATAGACAATATAAAATATATCTTAATTAAATGCAATATTTAAAAGTAGACAAAAGACAATAATTGCAAAATTTAATAATGTTTAAAGTCTATATCTTTCTCTATATATATAAAAATATAGTACATATAATATGTAAATTTTATTAATGTAACAAAGTGGAATTATTAAATTGTGTCAGCATGTATAGGTAATTTACTTTTTTATATATACATATATATTTTATAATATGAATTGAATAAACTTTATAAGATAAATATTATATGCGTGTATAGGTTAAGTTTCATATGTGTACAATAATGTTATCATCCGCAAAAATGAAACTAATTTTTTAAATTATTTTAAATAGCATATATAACGTAGATTAAATAACAATTATAGAAATAATAGAGATCGTCATATAAAAAAAAATCACAATACATAACCTAACTAATACACATTTTACTTATAAGTATTTTCAAATAATATCATATTTTATTACTTTATTACTTCAATAAATATCATATTTTTATAAATTTAAACAAAGATCAATATCATTTCACATATTTTTCTTATGATTTTGAAATTTTACTTCTAATAATAATAGTTATAGTATAGATATAACTATAAATATAAGATGTACAATTTGTTTATACAATTAAAGAATTAAAAAAAAGTAGTACTATTTTCAGACGGATTTTATTATTTGAAAATGCAATACTTCAAAATAAATATACTTTTAATAAGCACTGCACAGAAAGAAAGTATATGATTGGAATTGCGAAAATAAAAGAATACGAAGGTCGTAAACTAATAGGGTGAGTTTTAAATTTTAAAAACAAAGTGATTCTTTATAAAGAAATAAAAAATAATACGAATAATTCTTTTGATATATAGGTTTTCAATGGAGCAAATATTCGAAGTAGTGGCTGATGTAGAAAATTATAAAAATTTTGTACCATTTTGTAAAAAATCTGATATTATATTTAAAAATGATGATATGCTAAAAGCCAACTTAGTAATTGGATTTCCACCTATAAATGAAAGCTATACATCAAAAGTAACAACAGTGCGACCGCGTTTCGTAAAAGCTGAATGTTCAGATGGTAAACTATTTAATCATTTAAACACATTATGGCTTTTCAATCCAGGATTAAAAAATAATCCTCAAACTTGCGTTATTGATTTTTTTTTATCATTTGAGTTTAAATCAGTTATTCATTCACATTTATCAAATTTGTTTTTTAATGAAATCGTAAGACAAATGGAAAATGCTTTTCTAAATGAAGCTAAACGCAGATATGGAAGACCATGTATAAAAACAGTACGGCTAGAAAGGTGATTACTATTAATAAATGAAATTAATAAATGATTGTTAACAACTGTATAATTTATAAATAAAAAAATATTTTTCAAACATTTCTATCTTTTTAATGTATAAATTAAATAATGTATAAACTGAAATGTTAATTACAATTTTATATTTATAGCAAAATATACTTGTAATTATATGATAATGTTATAAATGATTGTTACTAATTTTTTCCTGATATGATCATTTCTTCACATTATTACATTACTTAAAAAATAAAATATTATAATTAACGAAAATAGCTTAAATCTTTTATTATCAGTTACTCTACAGGTATTACTTTTATTCTTTAGTATTTAAGATATTACACTATAATACGTCATACGTGTATTGGCAATGGCGTAGGATTGACCTATTGCTATGTACTTGTCACAAGATATGTCTACGAATCTTTAAGTGTTTAATAATATAGTGAAATTTTATTACAATTAAACGCTTCAAATTATTGATTTTAGATATTACGGCTGCTTAAAGCTGTATATGTTTTTATAATCACATAAATTTTGTGTAAAATACTTTTGTAAAGATGCGTATGACTATTGCAGCTTTGACTAGTCAAACATTATTTATTCCGCGAGAAATTATGTATTTTAGCAGAAATATTTCACGATTTTATCACAGTCGTCAAAAATTGTGCTGCATGAATAATTTTCAGTTAGGAAAACATTCATTATTTCCGCTTGTCGTTAATACATGGACTATACCGAAGACATATTATAGCAACGAAAGCAAAATAGCTTTCCCCGAATGCTTAACAAAAGAAACAGCGAAAGAAGTAGCATCCAAACTTACCTCAGACGAACGAAATCTTTTTCTAAGGGCTCTTGAAGAATGTAAATCAGAAGAAGATAGAGCTGGATATCAGCGTAATTATTTTCTATTTATATTATTATTAAAATAAAATTATTTTTCATAAATATTATATTATTTTACAGATAATTTATATTTTTTTATGTTATTAAGGTCAATTAGCTGCATTTCGATGGTGCAATAAACTTGGAAGACCTAGTAAAATACCATCATTGGGAGATGTGGATCCTACAGGCACTTATTGCCCTTTACCTGAAGATTGGCTTATGCGCAAGTATGGTAGGAACTTGAGAACATTCTTTAATTTTTCTAATAATTAGTAAATAACAATTCATAATATTAAAGTAAAATGTTATAATTATTTCATATTACTAAATTAAATTGCAACTTAAGGAAGTAGAATTCTACTTTACTAAAATACGTAACTTTTATATTATTATTAATGTCCTGTATTTTAAAGGTGAAAGTATTTATTATTATCATATTGTGATTCAGTATAATTTTCATTATTCTTTAACAGTATAAAAAATTTTCTTCCATCGCACCTACATGGACATCAATCTGTAAGTCTATTTTAATATATATTAAATTACACATTTCATGCAACTATGTGTTTTAATTCTTTTACTTACTTCTTCTACTCTGACTGAACTTTCTGGATGTTTTAAAAAGACAACTACAGAGCCACACTTAGGTAATATGTTACATTACATGTACAAACTTACTATTGTTTTTAACACAATATACACAGTAATATCATATGATAGCTTAAGAGCAATTGAAACTATTTAAGTTATGCTTTTACATTATACTCTTTTTAAACTGTAAGAATTATGTACTTATTTCAAATAAGAACATAATATATAATGATAAATATTTATAAATTTCATTGTATAAGTTTTCTTTATATTTTATAGTTATTTAACAAGTATATGCTATCTTATTAAATAATAATATTCATAATTTCATTATATGATTTCAATACATTTATTATATAAGGCATTGAACATTTTAAACAATACATATTTTTACAAGAATGTTATAAGTTTCATCCATCAGTTCAATAATGAACATAGTGAATGCAGCAAGATACCAATATAAAAATAAGTCGAATCTTTAGGTAAATAACTTTAAAAATTTTCATTATATAAAAAAGTTGTTAAAATATCCATTCAATTTAATTTTTATTTCACACAATTTTTGTGTATTTCATGCTTGTGCATGGCCTCACAAATATCCTTTCTATACGTAGTATGTATTCTAGAAAAATATTAATTAGAACCCTAGTATATTTAATATATATTACATTACTTAGCAAACTTTAATGTAAGTACTTTTTAGATAGAAGGAAATGTACGTTTATTTGAATAAAATTTTGATTTTCAAAATTTTGTGTATTCGATTAATTAATTATCCTATAGATTTTTTTATTTGTTATTAAGTAATTGACTACAATGAATATCCTGTAGACAATCATGTTACATTATAAGAGAATGCATATTTACGTTTTTCTTTTTCCCATTGCAGCTGAAACTGTTCCAGAACCATCCACAAAAGATCTAGTATTAGGTATGAATTTTAGTTATTAATATCCAACAAAATATATTTGAAAAATATATAAACTCGAATAATTTTAGCAATATGTAATATATAAAATTCTTACAGTTGCGATTTCAAACGCAATTCCGTTCATTGGCTTCGGTTTTTTAGACAACTTCATCATGATTGTTGCTGTACGTATAATAAATATATACTATTTACCTTTGAGTTTGTAATATCATCATTTTAGGGAGATCAAATCGAAATAATATTGAATAAAAAGTTCCCAATATCAACTATGGCAGCTGCAGCATTAGGGAATACAATATCTGATATAATAGGAATTGGATCAGTACATTATGTAGAACGTTTTGCACAAAGTGTTGGTTTTAAAGCCCCAAAACTTACTCCTATGCAATTAAATTTACGTAGGACAAAAGCAGCTGCAAATATGGTATGATATTTTCATTTTTATGTTACATTCAAATTATGTTCATAATTTACAATAAATAAGAAAACAATTTTGAATACTTCAGGGACGTGTTATTGGAGTTACAATTGGCTGTTTTATCGGAATGACACCTATTCCTATTTTCTCCTACTTTCATAATGGTGGTTGAAATTTTAAATATTAAATGCTTAAACGATTTTACTATTATTGCAATATTTATTTTTTACAGTAAATTAATGTATAATAGTAGGAAAACAATTATCTATTTATAATACTCATATAACTAGAAGTTTTGCAATTATTTGCAATATTAATTTATGACAATCATAATATTTATGTAATATTATATAATCTCTATAAGATGAATGTATTTAATGTACACATATGTATAAAATAATTGTAAATGTATTATAAAAACTGTATAAATAGTAGTAGTAACAGGTAGATCACCCTGTCTTATTTACAATCTAACATTATTATTACTACTATTATTATTATTAGTTAGATGTGAGAATGCTCATAGAACTTATATTCTAAAGATTATCATAGTTTTAAAGAACTAATACCTAATCAATTGGTTTTTATATTCTTTATTGAAAAAATGACTTTGTCAATGTTGAGTTTACAACTTAGTAGAAAAAATATATTTTTTTCTCAAAAAACATTTCTAATAAAGACAATATATTTGTTAAATTTTAAATATTTTGGTACATAATATTTAGTGCTGATAATCTAATGTTAATTTTGTAATGTAGTTTGTATATCACCAGTTATGTAAAAGAATTTTCAAATCTATATTCAAAATTTGTTTCCAAAATTATATTAAAGGTTCATTTGATATAGTAACATGAAATACAAATTTTGTTGCTATTGATGTATCAGCATATTCAGTTTTATCATTTACTGTACACAATATTTTTTTTGACTCCAAACTTGAATATTGTGGTAACCAAATCATCATAGAATTTAACCACCATCTCCAATTTACATCAGCAGTCTGATTTATTTTAATATGTTCACAATTTTGTTGAGATTGATTGCAACTTAAAGGAGTAGGTATAAAATCTGCTGTTAAAATATTTTCTGGTAAAGTTTCAATAGGCGATGTTACATCCATTACTGGATTAAAATCTGTTTTTATAAGATCTGTTGTATTAGTTGTTTGCCTTGGACTAAGTACTGTTCCTGGGAGATAACTTGCAACTAAGGCAGAACCTAAAAGAGTAACTATCCCTGCAGCATATGTTGCCAAACAAACAGTTGATATGTTTACCACAGCATGAGCTATTGCTATTAATTGCATCGAATTCATTAGGCAACTTAATTCTGTATATGAAAACCAGCCCCTTTTTTGTGCTTCTTTATAAGCTATATCTTTTTCTAATTTCTGTAGTCTATCCCAAAAATCTTGATTATGAACAAAAACAGTCCAATCCTAAATAATTAATAAAATTTTTGATTAGTGAAAGGAATTATACAATTCATTATAAAACAGTATACTGTAACATTTAATTTACTTACAATAGCCTTGAGAAAGTCTTTTTCTAATTGATTTATTTGCAATATAGTTAGATCACCTGATTGTGCCCATTCAGTATTAAAGACTTCATCATCTTCTCCTTCATCATTTAAAAATTTACTAGCCACCATCTATACCATATAATATTTTAAATAATAATATTTCTTGAAAATTAACTTAATTTTATATGAATGAGATAAATACAATACCAAGGAAACAAGAAAAAGCTCAGAAATTGTCACTTGTTGAAGGTATTCTGGATTACAATCTTTTAATCTTTCTAAGTACAATAAGGCCAAGACAAGAGAACAGGGTGAAACACATGCATTTCTGGAAATTTTACTAGCTTCTTCTACATAAAAAATTTTAATATTTTGTTAAAGTATTATGATAGTTTTTATTAGATATATATTATGTTTATTATAAAAAATACAATAATACATATATTATACAAAAGTTTTTGCCTCAAATAATTTAGTACAATTATTATACTGCTTTAATTACAACATAAAATGATACAATTGTTATGATTCATTTATTATAATTTAATTAATATAGGATATGTTGATAAAAATAAAAAATATTAATAATACTAACCAGTAACAGGTAAACTAAGACAATCAGTCACTGGTAATTTTGCATAATAAAGTGACTTTGATATTCGATTTAAAAACTCATCGTGATTACCCATGCTCTGTAAATAAATTTAAGGCTAAAAGATATTGAAAGTTTTAATAAAATATGGTATAAAATATGTTACCTTTAATTTTGATGGAGTTTTTCTTCTTGAATTATTCGACATATTCAAATACTAATGAAAATAAAACAATTCTTTTACGTAATTTATATGTAAAAAAATAGGAACAATAAAAGATTTCTTTCGATTTAAGGATACCGTATTTAAAAGTAAAGATATATTAAACCTAATTTTAACGAGAACAAGATAATTTATATTTCCGGTTCATTATGAACAAGGCTAAAGGTAAAACATCATTCGTACCACTACAAATATTTAATTACCTGACCTGAAAAACATTAAAATATTTATTCATTAAATTTTATGTATATAAATTTGTATCTATGCAAAAGAATAGAAAATAAGAAAAACAAATTGAATAAAATGGAAAGTAACGTACATTTATTTTAATTACGTTTATAGAATAACTTTACCTTACCATATTGTTGGTATAACTGCAAGGCAATGAACTCGTAATTGAATTACCAAAATCAAACGAGTAGAATAAGTGAATAGGAAGTTTTAATTTTGTTATATAGAAATAAGAAAAAAGTCAGTGTTCTCTTTCAATTGCAAGTAGAATAGGTAGTTTTACTTTTACAGAAAATTAACATGTGTTATTTTTATTAATGTTCGTAAATTGTTCCGTAAGTGTGGTATATGTATATATACTTATTAGTGATTCTTTTGTAGCTACTTTCATACACTAAATAGGTTATTTGACATATGTCAGATTTCTTATTACCGAATTAGTGACTAACTGATGGAATTAAGAAAGGAATGAATCAAATAAAAAGCGGTGTTAAGAAGTAATTAATCACGTGAAAATGTGGTGGTAGTGATGCGTTTAAAAGGGAAAAGTAATACAAAATCGTTTCAAAGCGTCTACAAGGTGCTCTCGCGTATATGCCGTAAGTATTCTATATTTAATTCTTTAATTAATTAAATTATCCAAGTTATTACATTTTTAAAATAACATAATTATCGTGTTTTATATAAGAAATTAAATTATTATTATATTAGTATCACAATTAATATCACATTCTTTTTTCATGTAGAGTTCTACATGACTAGAATTCTTAAAATTTAAAAACAAAAAATTTGTTACTTTATAGTAAATCTATTATAAATATAAAATATATATTGCATGTAATTACATAAAATTGGGAAGTGTTATTTTTACGAAAAATGTAAATAAAAATTACAGATATTCAATAATTGCAATAATGATTTTATTAGGAACTGCAGATAAAGGACAACTTGATGGTTTCATGGCGGATGGTGCAGTACCGCCAATAAAGAATGGCCATAACTGTAATAACATGGGTTTTGCAACACAACCAGTAAAACAAACTTCTGATGTTTCCAGTACTGTTTATGCTGTGGGGCAATATGCTCCAAAAGTTTTGAGGAATTTAAATGCCCAAAGACTAAAAAATCAATTTAGTGATGTAGGACTGGTTGCTGGTGGTAATGTTATTAGAGCACATAGATCGGTTCTAGCAGCAGGGAGTGCATATTTTAATGCTATGTTTACTGGAGGTTTAGTTGAAGAACAACAGGAATTAGTGGAAATTCATTCAGTATCAGCTAACATTCTTTCTCTATTGGTGGATTTCATTTATACTGGGAATGTTGATATTACCCAAGATAATGTTCAAGAATTATTTGCAGCTGCTGATATGCTAGAATTAGATGAAATAGTGTTTGGTTGCATTAACTATTTAAAACAGCAACTGCATTATTCAAATGCTCTGGGGATATATAGGTAAGTTCAATAAAACTAAGCAAATTTATAAATTATGGGTTTATCAGATGTACTAAGATAATAGTATAGAATGGTTTCTATAATAATTATTAATAGATTTGCAGAAGCACATAACAGATTAGATCTTTTGGAGACTGCCCTACGTTTTATACAAGTCAATTTTCCTCAAGTATCTCAAGAGGAAGAATTTTTGGATTTGCCGAAAGAACATCTTGTTCATTTTCTTAGTAGTGACTATATTCATATTGATACTGAATTCCAGGTTTGTATTCATATAATATATGTTATAAAAAACATAAACTTCATTATTTAAGTAATTGTTCTAAATATTTAACAAATTTTGAATTTTTAATATGTTGCTAGGTCTTCCAAGCAGCATATAATTGGATTATTCATGATATACCAACAAGAAGATGTTATGTATTTGAAATATTAAGTCATATACGTTTACGTTTGTGTTCATTAGCAAGATTGGAACGAGTTATTTTGGAATGCAAAGATGCAAGTCTTATTGTTGCATTAAGATCTATACAAAAAGATTTAGTATCAAATAAAGGATGTCTTGTGCCTCTTCACGCACAACCTCGACTTTGCGCTAAAAAAAATATTTTAGTCATCGGTGGATCAAGGCGTGAATATTCACCGGACAGCTGGGGTAGAGCTGCTGAAAGTACTTATGAAACAATTGAAAAATATGACATATTTACAGGGTATAGTTGTTTCTCTTTCTTTATATATATATATATAAAACTTAATGTTAAAAGATTAAAAATTATATATGTTAAATATTATCAAATCATAAAATTATAATTATTTTTGCAGTGAATGGAGTGAAGTAGCACCAATTGGTATAGGACGAATACTACCAGGAGTTGCATTATTAGATGGTAAAGTTTATGTTGTCGGCGGAGAACTTGAATCGTGTATTCTTGCTAACTGTGAATGTTACAATCCACGTGATAATGTATGGACTTCAATTGCTTGTATGGTAGAACCTAGGTGTGAATTTGGACTTTGTGCCTTGGATAATAGCTTATATGCATTTGGTGGTTGGGTAGGTGAAGATATTGGTGGATCAATAGAAATATATGATCCAATAACTAATTCTTGGACACTTGACGGACAACTTCCTGAACCTAGATTCAGTATGGGAGTAGTTGCTTATGAAGGTGAATTAATTTCCGGAGTAAAGTTCTTTGCTTTAATTGAAATATAAAATACGAAATATTATATATCATTATATCATTTAGGATTAATATACATAATCGGTGGTTGTACGCATGATAACAGGCATCGTCAAGATGCGATGAGTTATAATCCAGTAACAAGAGAGTGGACTCATTTAGCTCCAATGCTTACTCCACGTTCACAAATGGGAATCACTATTCTCGATGGATATATTTATGTTGTTGGTGGTAATAATAAAAATCAAGAAGTTCTCACATCTGTTGAACGATATTCTTTAGAAAAGGTGATTTCTTTTTTTCATTTATTATAATTTTATTTAGATCTTTTATGCATTATAATCTTGTTTTATTTCAGAATAAATGGAGTATTGTTGCATCTATGAATATGGGTAGATCATATCCAGCAGTTGCAGCAGCTGACAGTCGACTTTATGTTATAGGAGGTGATCAGTCTCAGGAAATCAATTTTTATCGAACACAAATTACAATTTCTACCGTTGAATGTTACGATCCCCAATCAAATAAATGGCACGAATGTGCTTCATTGCCAACAAGCAGAGGTGAAGCAGCGGCAATTGTTGCACCTTTTTGATTGAAATTTCCTTTCGATCATATCACTTTAATCACATGCATTTCCTTTTGAATTTCATAATAATATTTTAGCATCTATTTAAAATTTCTTAAACGTAAATATGATATCAAATGTGAAACATATGTTTATTGACTATCTTCATTTACGTCTTATATACAAACATGATCAAACATACATAATCTTGGATGTATTTTTTTATAGATTACAATTTTAATAGTTAACAGCATTTTTTCTAACAAACATAAGATGCAGCAGGATTTGAAAAAAAAAAAAGAAGAAAAAAACAAATGTTCCATTATAATAGTACAGTGCTATTTTCTGTACCCCTTGATATTAAATTATGTATGCTGATTTTCAAAAAGAATTTATTATATATATTTAATAATGAAAGTAGTTGAAACTAACTTCCATATATTTTGAAAACTTCTTAGCATACAAAATTTTATTAGTTGTAGAAGTGACTGACAGCTTTCACATTCTATAGTCATTTACCAAAGTTATCAAGAATATAAAATATGATATTCTACCATAAATTTTATCACACTACAACGAGAAATAAACTGAGAGTATATTTCTATGTAGTATGTGTGAAATGAAATGTTCTTAGCGAAAAAAATATATGTTACAGTTGCGCGTGCTTGTGATATTTATGGAGTTTTTTCTTTATAAAGTAAGATGTCTTGCGATAACCATGTATGTATATTTCGTTACTTATTAATTTCTGCTGGTGTAAGGAAAGACAAATACTTAATACTTAATGATATTATTCTCTTAATTTAAAAGAAAATCATGTAAAAATATCTTATAAATTGTGAAATTGTTTTATAGAATCACATATAACTTTCATAAGTTAAGTAATCATATTTTGTTAGTAAATTTTATAAAAAAAAATTCTATTGCAATTCAGTCTGACTTATAAAGCATGTTTGATACTACGATGGAATTAAAGTCGGAAATATACCCTTTAAATGTTTTAAGATTCATAAGCAAACTTCATTATTAAGATTATAAAATAACAAATCTTGAGAAGATACAAAATATATAAGTGAAAGAAAAGTCCATTTAAAATAAAA